GAGCACTTCCGAGATCGATTTATCGCGTCTAGACAAGACGCAATAAATCGATCCCAGAAGATCGATTGCTTACCGCCGGACCCGGAGATAAGTGTAGACCTACCCTTAAAAACTTACATCAACATAGCTACTGTGCTCAGGGGTGTAAAAAATCCACACTTGACTCCCGTAGCTATGTCGGCCTAACCCCAGAGCAGACACAGTTAGTTCCACAGAAGAATGCCTCTGTTGACCTCGCTCCTGTTGCTCAGAAAACCTCCTTCCTTCACTGTACTCTGCATCTACTGTAGAGAGTCACAGTGCCATGGCTATGATATAGCTATGCTGCTATAGCACCCGCAATGTAGACATGACTCTAGAATAAGCCTGTCTCTAAAGTCAATATCCCCATTTAAATGAGCTAATGTGCTTTGCACTTAATTAAATATAAGCGACAGATCTGCACTACACAGTGGTAACAAACACCCAAACTTTGCACGTATGGAGTGCCTTCCATCAAAGACTCTCAACACACTAATTAAATTTTGCCTCAGTACAGCAGAGAAAATTAACACTCATATTTTACAGATGAGAAAGTCAGAGGTTAAGTGATTTGCCCAAGGTTTCAAAGAAAGTCTATGGCGGAGCCAGGTGCAGAACTCAGGTTTTCACAAGACAAGCCTTCTAATCTTTTGTAAAGTGCTGTGAGATCTACTGATGAAGAGAGAGAATTATTATTATGATGTTGATTAAAAGGCAAATATATTTTCTCCTTCTATAAACACTGTAGAAATAATTTGGTTTATGTAGTATACATTACTCTTTTAAAATGAGGATTTTGTATTGTACCATACATCATATAATTAGAAATTAAGTGATGATAATCCTTTGCCATGTTACATTTCCTGTAAAAACCAGCTTGATTTAAGATCACTGATCCTGATTATTATATTATTAATGGAACTATATTCTACAAATACAAGTGCCATGAAAATAATTTTTATATATATCTTCATCAGTAGATCTCACAGCACTTTACAGAAGATTAGAAGGCTTGTCTTGTGTATGTGTATTATATATATAATAAATAAATAAAATAAAAGCAGATTGTTTTACAAATCTTAAAATACTAATTGTACTTAGACTACAGAGTATTATAAAAATACAGATTGTTTTACAATGCATTTATATAGATCAAAAGCTAGAAATCAGTATTAAACTCTGGAGTAGGCCTGAAATATAGAAAATCCACTTTGAGAATCAGGTTATTATGAAAAAGGTTCACAGATAATTTTGTTTATAGTTGACAAAAACATTTCTTTACCTGGTACAATGATGTCTCCAAAACCCAGTAGTGAAAACGGCGTTCCACATAACGTCAGTGCAGAGTATTCAAGTCTAGGTACCCTAATAACGACTGGTAACTGTAAAACAATATTTTTAAATCCCACATAAATTCAATCTAAATCATATAATTTTTTTAAAGAAACATTAAAATTATATAAGAACTACTTATTCCTCTAGTTTCTGAAAAACATCAAATTAGGAAGAACCTGAATTAAGCAAACAGGAACCAACAAACTGAGTGTTTAAAATGTGATTTTAAGATTTAGAGTAGAAAAAAATGGATTTGCAATTTTACAGATCATATACATGAAAGAATTAAAAACAATGTAACCACAAGCAATGGGAATATTAGATATGCATTGTTATCCTGACTAGAAGCTATTGACCAACAATGATAACCAGGCCCTGAAGAGGACAATTTTGACAGTCAAGTTTTCCCCAAAAGAATAGCCTTTTCAGAGGATGCAATTTAAAGTCCAGTGAACATATCTGAAATACAATCCTTACTTTCTCATGGGGAGCTGAGCGTTCAGCAGGGCCTTCCACCAAGTTTCCATCATTCTAGGATCAAACCCAAGTCAACAGGTATTTAATACTTTAACAAAAGTAGCAAAAGCTGGCTATATTTTGTGAGAAAGTTATACCTAAAAGCTACTTGAATTTACTCACTTTCCATAGCTAATTCAGTTAGTGTTATATCCTGCACATGTGTATTCATAGTATATTCATAATACAGAAAAAGACTATTCATACCTTTTCACTATTACCAAAAGGACCAGCTGCAACTTCAACCATTATACTTTCTCCATTCTGAAATTTAAGGTTATTTTTCAATTAGTGATTTAATACTTACTTAAGTATATAGTGTAACACTTCAATATTAAACATAGAATTGCTGCTTGCACCTCAACGTCCTATAATCCTCTTAATGTATTATTGTATGCAGGATTATTTTATCCAGGACATTATCCAGCAAACCCATTCAAAATGGAATGCACTGATCCAAAACAGAAGTTGTTCAAATTCCAGTGAAGTGTACAGATTAATGAAGTAAAGATTTATGCTTTTGTTTTGTATTAAAACAGTCAGATCTAAACTGGCTACTAGAGTTTGTTTTCTAATGAAAGCAGCTAAAGTTGTTATTTAGCTGAAGAATGTGTCAGCAATGTACTCCTCTGTCACTGTAGACTTGGTCTTTCTACTTTGAAATGTGGGTACTTGCAAGTAATTTGTGCCACAGCACGTTAAAGAATCAGCATTTTACAAAGCACCAAAACCTCAACTGATACATAAGGGTCTGAAAGCAAAAGATGGGGTACAGTAATGATAGTCAGAATTTAGACAGGGTGCAGTAATAAAATTGAGAATTTGAAAAACAGCAGGCTGCTGTATGACTGACAGCATTTATTAGAATGTCAACTATAGCAAGTAAAAACAGAGCAGGCTTTTGGGGGCTGTAGCACAAAACAGATATACAATAACTTACTTTGTGATCCCATTTTTGAAGGATTAATGACCATCTTGAGGCTAGTTCCCCCCCATTATATCAGTGCTCCTTACCTCCTATTTCTACTATAATCCCTTTGGATGTATCTACCGCTATTCATCCCCACTCCCTAGGCTGCATTTAGCTTGGATCCACCTTATTTTCGCTACATTGTTTCCATCCTTTCCCCTTTGTTTCTAAGTTTAAATTAATGAGACAAACATTCCTGTGCAACCTTTCATTAAGATGTTGGTAAACTGAGAAACTTAGGAGAAATCACTTAATAGACAAACTCTTGGGAGTAACAGACTTTGAGCGTCTAGAATGGTAGCCATGTCTGGACAATATTTAAATGCATAAAATTCAATGCACAAAATATAAAATGCTCAGCAGGCATTCATACCACAAATCTTTATCAAAACTGTGGACCTACCTTGGTGATAAATGGAGTTATGAAGACGAAAAATACATCGTACAAAAGAAGAAGACCTAGAAGTATCACACATGACTGGCAAACAGAGAAGGAAACATTAAACACAAGTTTTCAAAGACTGCATGATAATTATCATTAATACATCAATATTTACTAAATGCCTATGGGTTATCTTTAACATTCTCTCATA